GACTCAATGCACCATATCTCTTAACCTCCATATTGGCCCAATCCATAGTCCCAAGCTCCTACTGTGAGGCCCATTCTGTAACCTGTCCTGTCACCTTTCCTAGCACCCCTGTCTCCCTCAAAGAACTGGGGCCTTCTCCCAAACTCCCAAGTTATTTGGCTCAAGTTCTGAAGTAAATACTTGGTAGCCCTCTTCCTGATCCCCAGACTTGTCGTCACTGGCAAAAGTGATGCCATGAATGGCTCCACCTCCTGGAATCACAACATAACCCTGTCAGACTCTGAATTCTTGCCCAATGCCTAAACTCTCTCAATGTTATTTTATAAGCACTAGACTAGACCTCTCAGTACCAACGTTTGCCCGGATGACATCTGCGCCCACTGAAACACACGTGACACCCGAGAAGTCCCTGCCACAGCCAGTCTCTGGAATCAGACAAGGTCTCCCAGGCCATGTCCTTCATTCTCAACTCGCTCTTCTCTCCTCTCCGTCCATTTTTTAACACTTGGCTCACCATTTCTCAAGCAGCATAATAATGGCTGTGGGGAATTCATCTGGTCACTACAATTTCTCTGTACATCTGTCTGACAATCCCTAATGGGGACTGGAGGCTCATCCTCCTCCCTCCACAAAAGTTTAACATGTTACAGACTGAGTGGAGCATAGGGAAAGTCGGTTACACAGAGCGCTAAAAGAAGCTGTCCTGAAGGCAGCCCACTCCAGAGGGAGGGAGGCCACTCCACCGCCACACGCAGCAATGACTCCAGTGAGAAAAAAGGAAAAGAAAGCAGCAGCCAGAAAAACAAAAGGTCTTCCCCAATTTCTTTCACGTTAACTGTTCCTCTGTCCTGCACTGTGAGCATGGCAGCACACTCAATCTGCCTGGCCGACAGAGTCTTAGCCTTATTTTCTAAGCACCGTATTGAGTACTTAAATCCGGCCAAACGGTTGCTATACACAGTAGACTAACACAGCTTTCTAGGTAGTATTGTAGCAAACATCTTCTTGGTAACAGCAACATTCTCATTCATCTGGAGGTTATAAAAGGGTGAGGAAAGAGTAGTTTCTCACTCCAAATTATATCTCAAAGGTTATTTATTGATTGTACAACTTTCAAAAATATATATTATTATAAAAATTTCAAAAATATACAAAAGTAGTATGGAAAGTTTAATGAAGCCACATGTACCTTTCACCCAACTTATACAATTGTCAATGGATTCCTGAATAGTCTTGTTTCATCTCTATCCTGCCCCATCCTTCTATTCTCCACCAGTTATTGTGAAGTTAATCCCAGACAGACTATCATTTCATGTATAATGATTTCAACTCATATCTCTTAAAGATAAGATTTTTAAAAAATATAACCACAGTATCATTAAACCTCTAAAATGATTAATTCCTTAATATTATTAAATATACCATTTTCGAATGTCCCCAAACGTTTTGTCAAAATACAGTTCAAACATGGGAACTGGTCTCTTAAATCTTTTTTTTTTTTTTTTTTTTTTGAGGAAGATTGGCCCTGAGCTAACATCTGCTGCCAATCCTCCTCTTTTTGCTGAGGAAGACTGGCTCTGAGCCAACATCCGTGCCCATCTTCCTCTACTTTATATGTGTGATGCCTGCCACAGCATGGCTTGATGAGCGGTGTCATGTCTGCACCCGGGATCCCAACTGGCAAACCCCGGGCCGCCGAAGTGGAAGGTGTGCACTTAACTGCTGCGACACCGGGCCGGCCCCTTAAATCTCTATTAAGCTATACGTTCCCCTCTCTCCTTCCTTTTCCCACCCCTACCTGCCCCTTGAAATTTATTTGTTGAAGGAAACGGGCTGTCGAATTCCTCATAGTCTGAATTTTGTTCATATACTCCTCATGGTGTCATTGAAGACATCCCTCTTTCCCTTGAATTTCCTGGAAAATAGTAGTGAGAGCTACAGGTTTGATCACATTCAGTTCAATTTTCTGGCAAGACAGCTCCATAGCTGGTGTTTGCATGTCTTAACATCAGGAAGCATGCAATATCTAGTTTTCTCTCTTTTTGTGTTATTAGCAGCCATTGATAATCACTGGCTATATCCCTTATTTCATTAGAGGATACAAAATGGTTATACAGTAACATTGTATCATTCTTCCATCTTTTTTTCTTTTAAAGATTTTATTTTTTCCTTTTTCTCCCCAAAGCCCCCCGGTACATAGTTGTGTATTCTTCACTGTGGGTCCTTCTAGTTGTGGCATGTGGGACGCTGCCTCAGCGTGGTTTGATGAGCAGTGCCATGTCTGCGCCCAGGATTCGAACCAACGAAACACTGGGCCGCCTGCAGCGGAGAGCGCGAACTTAACCACTCGGCCACGGGGCCAGCCCCATCATTCTTCCATCTTTTAAGAGTTGGGACATGCTAATAATGAGAAACTTATTCTCATCAACTACTTGGTTATCCTGAGCTACAGTTAATATTGGAAAGGCAGGGGAAAAAGACTTGAATCTTTTAATTGATTACCAGTTTTCAAAATAAGTTAATTTACTAGCATCCTCCAATGCAAAACAATTATTAGGGTTTTTTTCCTTTATATTACTGTGAACTTTGGATTCAAATATATTTAATGTGTTTCTACACTGCAGTTGCTATCCTTATTGATCTTCAAATTGTCCCATCTTTGGCTCCTGAGTCCTTTAGGATGCCTTTAGCAGTTCTGATAGCTTCTTTGCTTTCTAAATTAGCTTGGACAAGATGTTCCAAGCTCATCTTGTACCTACATTCCCTGCCCCAGACCTGGAAGTAGCTGTTTTCCAAGGAGCTTTAGCTTACTTTAGTGGGAGCTGGCACTCAGGACTACAGTCTGGTTGCTAGGGGTGCCCACTGCTACTAGGCTGGTCCTTTTTCTAGGCTCTGCCAGGGAGAAGAGCTTTAAATTTGCCGTCACAAGATTTTTCCTTGAATTGAGCTATCTTTTAACTGTTTCTCCTTTAAACCACACCAAAAGTCTGGGTTCCCAATGATATCATCTTAATCACTCTATTTGCTTTATTCCATAAAATACATATAAAAGCCTTAGAATAACAATAGCAACACAATCACTACAATATGATTCCCTTAAACAGTTGAGGATTTTTTTTTTTTTTTTGGAGATTCTTTGGTCTTCAGTTATAATCTATTAAGGATAGACAGTCGGGTCTACTGAGATTTGAAATAATCCGTCTCTATATGGTTCTATCAGAGCTTGATATATAATTAGGTTAATTAGGTTCATCTGTTTCATTTTGTTTCAACTTTTAGGGATCTTTTAAATTTTAATTTTGCTTTAAAATTATTTAAAATATGTATATGGTTCCAAAGTTAAAGAGGTAAAATAAGATATATTCAGAGAAGTCTAGTTTCTACTTTCTCCACCACACTGTTCGCTCCAGTAGTCAGTCGATAGGTAATCATTTTTTACTGTCAAATTTTTGTTTTACCTTTTCAATTTTTCAAATACTAGTACTCCCATCCCTTTCTTCAATGAATATTACATACCATACCTGTCTCCACTCAGCTATTTTCCCCTGACGATCACTCTACCGTAGTATAAAAAGATACTCTTCTCTTCATTTCTTTTTATATTGTGGATGTAGTATAAGTTATTCAATAAACCCTATACTCACCAACATTTGTGTTGCTTCCACCTTTTGCTATTACAAACACAACTGCACTAAACAGCCTCACGCATGTGTCTTTTCTTATTTTTGCCAGAGTGACGCTGAGATAGCATCCCTAGGAGTAGAGCTGCCTGGCCGAAGGGCAGATATAAACATCACTTTTCTAGATATTGACCAATCCTCTCCCCTAGAGCTCATACAAATGCGCATTTCCTGCAGCAATGTATGAGAGAGCCTGCTTCCCCCATTCCTCCACGGCCTCACCAACAGAACAGCTTGTCAAACTTCTTAATTTCTGTCAATATGATCAGTAAGAAATGATACCTCAGTGTAGTATTGCTTTGCATATTTCTTATTAGTAGAAAGATTAAGTATCTTTCCATATGTTTCAAGGAATTCAGAATTCTTTTTCTGTAAACCATCTTCATATATCTTGCCTATTTTCCTATTGAGTTGACAGTTTTCTTATTCTGTATTTTTTAGGGATATTCACCCTTTGTGATAAAAATTGGAAATATCCTTCTCCAATTTGTCACTTGTTTTTTTACTTTGCTTATTCTGTTTTCAGCAATACTAAAGTTATTATTTGTATCATCAAATTTATCAATATTTCCCTTATTGCATCTGGATTTTGAGTTGTAGTTAGTGTGTTTATTCCACTTCCAAGTTCAAAGGAATTCACCAAATTTTTTCTTAGTACTTGTATGCTTTCATTTTTGTACACTATGTGTCTGATTCATTTGTATCTTTTCCTTGGCATAGTACAAAGAATAAACCTAATTATCATTTTCCTTCAGCATACGCTAAACACCCATGTGCAACTGCGTCTACTGCCTCATTTTCTATTCGGCTCTGAGAGGCTCTTTTTAAGCACCAAGACCACAGTTCTATTACGGGGACTTAATGATACGTTTCAGCACCTCGTAGGGCCACAGCCCTCCCCCACCGCTCTTCTTTTGAGAGTTTTCCTTATTATTCTTATTTGCTCTTTCCAATGAAATGCATAATCAACTTGCCTAGCCCAGGAAAAAACCATACACACGCACACACAGAATCATCATAAAGTTATAAACTAACTTAAGGGGATCGACAAATTCATGACATCGAAACTAACAGCTAAGTATAAGGACTAAAACTTAGAAAAAAGCCTTAAACTATTTTACCATTCTCTGCTTGAAAAGACAGGTTGAACCCGGAAAATCTTTGCTACATTACCATGGGAAATTTATTTAAACAAACTTAGATTAACTAGCAAAGGAATCCAATTATTTCATATATATCATGTATTGTATAACATAACTCATTAGAAAAAAAGCCAAAATGATCCAAATAACACAAGGCATTAGTAATGTACTTGCTCACCTTCCTTTTTCAGCCATTTCACAATGTTCCCTTCCTCCATTGTAGGAGACAGTGATGGCATTAGTATCTTAATAGGATCAGCTGGAATTGAAAAAAGGAAAGATTAGCCACAAAAAAAAATGCACTTTGTGCAGCATCAATGAAAAGTACAAGTAAATTAATATCAAATTCAATTTGAAGAAGAAAATATTCGCAAGTCTAAAAGACTCCCAACTGATGAAGCTAAATGTCCAGTAAAGAGTATGGAAACATAAAACTCTCAACTTTTTAAAAATAAAACTCTTTTTTGGAGTACTTTCAACTCCTTTTTCACAGTTCCCCAGTCCTCTATGCATGTTTGCTGAGGAAGATTAGCTCTGAGCTAACATCTGTTGCCAATCTTCCTCTTTTCTTTTGCTTGAGGAAGATTAGTCCTGAGCTAACATCTGTGCCAATCTCCCTCTATTTTGTATGTGGGTCACCACCACAGTATGGCTGACAAGTGGTGTAGGTGTGTGCCCAGGATCTGAACCCGCGAACCTGGGCCACTGAAGCAGAGCTCACCAAACTTAATCACTAGGTCATGGGGCCAGGCCCCTCTATGCATATTTTTAAGCCAGGTGCTTACAAGATCAAAAATAAAATTTTGACTTATGTTTCATCTTCTTCTCCTTTCCGTTTTGTTGCTATAAAAAATATTTACAAGTAAAATGATGGAAAGAAAAGATAAATAAGAAAATAATAATAATTTTAAAAACCTAGGGTTCTGATAAGTCACAACAAAACAATCAAATCAGACTTCTTTTTAAATTGGTTGTGTTTTCATTTTCCTCTGATATTATACTATTCAAGAATCAAAGGTTCTTACTGGTTAAGTGTGAAAGGAAAGGTGTGTCTTGTCAAGCACGATTAACCTAAGCTGCTAATCTCAAATAGTGTTTAGTGTTCCACACCACAATTCACCGGGGATCCAAAAGGGCAGACTCAAACCAGGGCAGCCTCTCAATGAAACACAGCTCCTTTTTCCTTAGATACTAACAAAGGAGACACTCTCTGCATCTGGCCAGATGGGCTTCCCAGTAGTCATGCACTGTCCAGGACCACACTCAGAGAGCACACAGCAGACAGATTACAAATTTATATGAAGTTTATACTAATAAATAGTTAACAGCATGCTCCAGCTCTTAGCAGTACCCATGGTAACAAATTACACTCCCTGACATCTTCCACTGAACCTATTCTCTCCTCAGATTATTCAACTCTCTGACTCAGAAAACCAAAACATCGTACCATATCTAACATATTTCAAATGTGGAAGAGGATAGAATGGGGCTTCTTTTTTTTCCCACGGACGTTTTAGGGTTAAAGGGAACTGAATACTAATGTTAAATGAGGTTAAAGATTTCCTTTGGGAAACTGAACTAATCTTACCGTCATTTCGAATGGAGAGTTCCTACGGCTTCACGGCACAGATCCAGCTCCAAAGCATCTGGAGGCAAGCTCTGTCCTCCCTCCACTTTTCACTCTCTCCTCTCTAAAGAACCGGCAAAAGGACTCGAGCACACATACGTGCCGCAACCTTTTCCTCACTTTTGTTTTAAGACCTGCCTGCCTACAGGGAACCCGCATTTTCCTTTCAGCTCTCCTATGTGCCAGGCCTAAATGGACCTGCCTTTCAAAGGCAGACAGAAGCCCACTTCTCTCTGCTGCCGGCATCAGGGCCCACGGGTGTGAGGAAGCCATTCAGGTGTGCGTGTGTTTGCTTTGTACACACAAACTCTCCCCCTCCAACAAAAGCCCCAAGTCTAAATGTGGGGCTGTACTGCAAAGTCCAACTGTAGGCCACAGATCTAAGTCACATTTTCCAATCCAACAACACCATCAGCCTTAAAACTGTTACTGTGATCTCCATCTGTGTGACTTTTTTGCCTCTGTCTCAATTGGCACCAAACTCAAGGAAGAACAGAAAAGTAAAATTATCACTCCTAATATCCCAACAATGAGAAAACCACAATCCATCGATTGAAGGATTTGAATTCTGCCTGCCTAACTCTACTACCCAGTACTACCTCTCATCATTAATTGATGATCCTTACAAATATGGATCATCAATTAATCACTGGTTATTTATAGCCTATTCACTCAGAAATTCAAACACAGCAAACCAGACATACCAAGCCCATGTGAGCATTCTTCATATGTCCAATCAAATATCCCAATAAACACTTTCCCTACCTTGTGCATAAAGAATTCCTGTATTAAGAAACCTCTTTTACTACTGACAATGAATATTTCAAACGTAGAAGACAACAGGTAACCGTTAAGTGCATTATATTTTGGAATTAAGGGAGGAAAAATAGCCACAAGGAGTTTCCCAACTCCTGTTTTATTATTAAAACACACAGCTATCTCAGAAGAGACTGGAGAATGGAGAACACAGCCATCGACTCCTGTATACCATGTCTCTCAATGTTCACCGCAACAGTTTCATTTAATTTCCAAACTACCTCTAGTTGAAACGCAAATTACCACTGCAATATAGCTTAAAGTATCTTCACATATTTTCTTTAGTAAACTAAGTTCTTGTGGACTAAAACAGGCACCTTAAGACACTGAATAGGTAGAAAATAATGCAAACTACTATGCACAACCTCAGGGCATTGCAGTCTATAAAACACTGGAGCACGAACTTCCGGAGTGAATCAGAACTAGGGAAGAGGGTTTAGGAATGCACGCACAGGCAAACTTACACTGGAACATCGTGATGCATCTCCAGCTGCAAACCTAGCAAGCCTACACTTGACGGCAAGCATTCCTCCAAAGTGCCAGAGCTCCACATGCCAGACACATTCGGAAATAACAAAAGGAGCTGTCTAACCCCTGCATTCCGCTGTGTCTATTATCTTTCTCATTTTTCGCATGGCTTGATGAAGAAAACATTCGCCTAAAGAATATACAGCCAGCCCAAGTCTCAGCATTTAATCTTTTTAAGGTCATAGTGACAAATGGGGTTTAAAAGAAAGCAAAGCAAACAAACAAACAAAAACTACCTTCTAATAGCACCCTGACAAGAGGCCAGCCTCTTCTTGAAAATCATAGCTTAAAAAAAGGCCCAATAGGGGGCTGGCCCCGTGGCCGAGTGGTTAAGTTCGCGTGCTCCGCTACAGGCAGCCCAGTGTTTCGTTGGTTCAAATCCTGGGCGCAGACATGGCACTGCTCATCAAACCACGCTGAGGCAGCGTCCCATATGCCACAACTAGAAGGACCCACAACGAAGAATATACAACTATGTACTGGGGGGCTTTAGGGAGAAAAAGGAAAAAAATAAAATCTTAAAAAAAAAAAAAAAGGCCCAATACAATGCTTCTCTCAAAAAGTTTCAGCCTGGCATTATGAGATGAGACATTTCATAATCACATACACATTAAATTTATGCATCAAATAGAGTTCCACTACAAAGAAGCAAAAGAAATGGACTGCAGTGGTTCCATGTCCAGACTCCAGCTTATGACAAACACTAAATCGATGCTCTCGAGACGAAGGCTCTCTCCACATTTTTACGCCCTGCTTCTGGGCGCCATGGTGCAACCCACATTCACTTTACGAGTCTATCTCCTATTGTCATCTCCCACCTATAAGACCTTCACATTTCCATTATTCCTGACATTAAGGACTATATTATAAAACTTTTGCCTTTATTAAGTATTATTTTCCAAATTACCACATCAAAAACCTCAAAAATTTTCATACTTTAAAAATAAAAAGAACATAATCATTCCTCATACAGCTACCCTTCACGGATGAATTGAAATTGCCTCTCTGAATAATGGCAATAAAACATAAAAATTCTGTAATAGATCACTGTCCTTACTCTGAAACGAAAGTGACAAAAACCAAAGAAAGACATTTTGGCTATCTCCATTATTCAGTACTCTCTCTTGATTGATTATACTGCCTTACCACAGAGAATAAAATGTGCAATGTATTTTCTGATTAATCTAACCAATCTATCTGCAGACTCTCATGCTAGAAAATCATTTCAAAATGTAAGCATTACTTTATTAGTAATGGGACGTATTTCATCCCAGTATACCCTCTTTCAACTGGAACATTATACACATCTTTTCCAAATGTACTTTTCCAGTGGGAAAGTAATTATACAATCATAATATTAGTTTTGAGTGACAAGGCTACACATAATTAGTATCTACCCTTTATGGCTGCTGCCAGTTCTATTCAGATACTAATGGCTTTTCTAGACTCCTTGGAATTTTAACCTATACCTAGGATTGTTTAATTTCACTAGAAATTCACTACAGCTTCCCTTTTCATTCTAGCAAGCAGTACCTTCTACCTTTCTCCTGTCGAATTGAGGAGGCCTTGAAATGTGCACCAATTATATCTCCTACTAATAACTGGGCACGACTACAGGTAAGAAGAAAGGAAATGTGGTTTTCTTCTCCACTGATCGCACAGGTTATTTCAGTTAGTACTCAAAAAAAGCACCCCAAATGTAGTTGGAATTTTACTCTTTTGTAGTCATTTTAGTATTCTATTCCTCTTTATCAAGCTAACAAATTATCTCTTGCAATTTATAAAATTGTAAATTTATAATTTTAAAAAGGGCTATAAAATCTACCTTTCTATAGGAGCTAAAAAGCATATTTAAAAATTTTTAAGATAACTACAGTAATGTACAATTCCAGTTTATACTTAAACATACTGACAAAGTAGAATCCCACACATCACTACAACTGTCAATCTTTTTTTGACTCAATAGAACGACACAATAAATATTTTTTGCTTAGTATATTGCTGCTTTGCTTTCCATCTCGAGCACACAATCAATCACTGAGTTTTACAGCAGTTTCTCTAAGCAATTTCTATATTTCTTCAAATTTGTTCTTCCAATCTTTCTATAGCATAATTCTCTCTTCAATTTCAAATATGGTACTCTAATCTAACTTCTTGTTTCCTAAAGTATGTCTTTTACCATAGGAGTAAAACATTCATACTTCAGCAAAATCAATTATATCAAAGCTTTAAATTATTGATCTACACATCAATTCTAAACGGTCTCTCCAGATTAAAGAAATTAACAT